ACTAAACATATAAATACATAAATTGAATTGAAGTGTCCTAAGAGGGCGCCTGGGTGGCTCAGTCGTTAAGCGTCTGCCTTCGGCTCAGGTCATGATCCCAGGGTTCTGGGATCGAGTCCCACATCAGGCTCCATGCTTGGCGGGAAGCCTGCTTCTCCCTCTCCCACTCCCCCTGCTTATGTTCCCTCTCTCACTGCCTCTCTCTCTGTCAAATAACTAAATAAAATCTTTAAAAATAAATAAAGTGTCCTAAGATCCTTGTTTTCTTCTGGAGGAGGGTAGAAATATTAATGTCTAAGGCACATATATTAAAATAGAAAGGATAACACAGAGTATAAAAGTTCTCAAACAGTAGAAGGAAAAAAATGTAGGCAAAAAAATCTCAACCCAGAAGGAGAGAAGAGAGAAGCATAGAAAAATTGAGATGAACAGAAAGTGCAAAATAAGGTATTAGAAATAATTCAAATAAGTAGTACTTACAATAAATTAAATGGAATATAATTTACCTGCTAAAAGATAATCAGAAAGAGTTTAAAAAAGAAAATTAAGCTATATGCTGTTTTGAAAAAGATCTAACTAAAACATAAGGACACAAAATGTTTGAAAAGACACAAAAGGATGAAGATAAGCCAGGAAAACACTAACCAGATAAAAAGGCAGGTTAGTTATATAAATAGCTAATAAAACAGAAAGGCAACAATCATTATTAGGGAAAAAGTAGATCACTACATGATGATAAAAGGTTCCATTCACTAGGAAGATAACAATTTCTTTTTTTCTTTTTTTAAAGATTTTATTTATTTATTTGACAGAGACACAGCGAGAGAGGGAACACAAGCAGGGGGACTGGGAGAGGGAGAAGCAGGCTTCCCGTGGAGCAGGGAAGCCCGATGCGGGGCTCGATCCCAGGACCCTGGGATCATGACCTGAGCTGAAGGCAGACGCCTAACGACTGAGCCACCCAGGAGCCCCTGAAGATAACATTTCTAAACTCATATTGATAAGCCCTCAAAATATATAAAAGAAAAATTAATAGAATTACAGAAGAAACTGAGAAATCTACTATAGTGGGTGAATATAATACAACTTTGTCAGTAAGTGATAAATTAACTAGACCAAAAAATTAGGTCATAAAAGACACAAATGACAATTTTACAAAAATTGACAACTTTCAATAATTATTAAAGAACTAGTATCTGATCACGATGTTCCTGGACCACACTGCAATTAAGTTAAAAATCTATAACCAAAGGCTGATTTAAAATCTTACTTCTACTAAACTTACTGGTCACAAGAGAAAACATAATGGAAATTACAAAGTATTTTTAAAAGCAAGTTGCAGAAGAATACACACAGTGTACCATTTATGTAGAGTTTAGAAACATGCAAAACAATACCGGATGTTGCATACATATATGGTAACTGTTTAAAGAACTGTATGGTAATCAAACACCATATTCAGGGCTGTTTCAGGTGGAAGAATGGGAGCTGTCATTGGGAGGAGTACACTGGATGCTTCAGCTGTACTGATTTCTCAAGGTGCTACATAAGTTCAGGAATATCTGCATTATTTTTACACCTTTCTGTACAGCTTAAATATGCATACCAAATTTTAGAATAACAACACTATAGCAATATTTGCCAAAATCCTCAAACTCAGGAAAAAAATAATTAACTTTTATAGGTGTTTATTCAAGTTTAAGATTTAGGCAAAGTACTTTCTTAATTATAGATACCTCCTACCCACTCTACTCATATCCACCTATGTACCACACACATATAGCCAACCAGTCAAAACCCAAGTCCACACCACTAGGACTACAGGTATTCCCATTAAAGTAAGGAAAAGACAAGGCTGCCATTACTCACCATTATTAGTTAATTGAACACTGTCATGAAAAAGCCATTTAATGTAATAAGGCAATGTAATAAAATAATAGAGGGGAAAAGCTAAAATTATCATTATTAGCAGATAAAGGAATAAAGCCCTAGAAAAAGAGAAATCAACTGAAAAAGTTTTAAAAGGGATCAGTAATGACTAATATAAAGAAAAAGATACAATTCATAATAGCAACAAAGATATCTAAAAAAAAATGTTTAAGTGTAGAAGTTATAAAAAGAAAATTATAAATTGTCCAGAATATAGAATTTAAACGAGGTAACAATAATTAAAAGGTACTAGAATGAAATGGAAGAGAAACTGATTTTTGTGTATGTATAAATAAGTGGGAATTTAGTTTATGATGTTTCAAATCAGTGGGAAAAGATGAATTATTCAATAATGATACTGGGTCATCTTGCCACTTTTACAGGAAAAAAACCCCTAGATTCTTATTTATTCAAATAAATTTCAGTTGGGTATAAGGTTTAAAATTAAAAAAAAAAAGGAGAAAAGAAGAAATCTATTAAGTGCATGAGAAGAATTTATAAAATTAAAAAAAAATCATCTTGGAATAAGGAAGATATTTCCAACTACACCCTAGAGCCAGATTCAGATTTAACAATATAAAAGAACTTGAGATTGAATGTGCCATTTTAAGACCTTTTTTCCCCCCCTCTTCTCTTAAAAGCCATCCCAGACAACAAGGAAGCAAGAAACAAACACAAACTCTACCTTTGATAATAGAAGATATGTAACCCTAAAACTCAGTTAATGAAGACAGGTAGCAGATAGAATGCTAAACCAAAATGGATGTGGAAGAAGAGGCCAATGAGAAGCAAGCCAAATTATCCTGCAGAACACTGGAAAGAGTCATAATTGGAGATAGGAAGTATCCCAGAAAGTGGGGTGGCGATGAAAACAAGAGAACTGTAAAATTCTGAACCAACAACATTTGAACTGCCAGGTCTCCTACACAGTCAGGTAACCTGCCATGCCTTCTCCACTGTAGGATATATGAGGACTGGTCTTTGGAGATATTCTAGTCTCAAGGAATAACACAGAGAAGGATATGAGCCTGAAGACAAGGATTAAATGAAAGTTTACAGGATCAAAATATTCCCTACCCAGGTTTCAAATGCCTGTACCCAGCTATCTGAGAAAATATCTACAGATACTGACATTTGAGGGCTCCTCAATTAAAAAACTGTGTTACACTGATTACCCTACAGTTCAGCCCAAGAGGTGAGAAGCCCATTCACATATACAGCCTTATCTACTGGTTTTATAATAACTTAAGTCTTACAAATATAACTCACAGATGACACCAAACATTTAAGAAAAGCTTCCAATAGCAACAAAAAGAGAAAAAATTCAAAGGTAATATAGACAATACAGACAAGAAAGCATGAAAGGCACTACAATGCTACTTCAGAATAAGATATTATAGCCATGAAATAAGAAATTAGAGAATAAATAAAAGCTCACAGAAATTAAAAAGAGCTGAAATAAGTGTTGATAGAAAAATTAAGGCTATCTCCCAGAAGATAGAACAAAGAGGGAAAGATGGATAACAAGAGAGACAAGAAAAGATTAGAGACTCAACTGCTGAAGAATCACAATACCAATGATAGAGAACGAAGAAATCCGTTGAAAAGATAGAAAATGCCCAACATAACTTCAAAAAAAAAAAAAGAAAGAGGCACACCAAGTTACATTATTGTGAACTTCCAGAACATCAGGGATATGAAAAAAGATTTTATTTTTTTAAAGATTTATTTATTTGCGGGCGCCTGGGTGGCTCAGTTGGTTAAGCGACTGCCTTCGGCTCAGGTCATGATCCTGGAGTCCCACAATGGAGCCCCGCATTGGGGTCCCTGCTCAGCAGGGAGTCTGCTTCTGCCCTCTGACCCTCCCCCATTTTGTGCACTCTCTCTCAAATAAATAAAATCTTAAATAAATAAATATTTATTTATTTGAGAGAGAGAACGCGTGTGCGCGTGCATGTGCACACACAAGTGGGGGAGGGGCAGAGGGAGATGATCTTCAAGCGGACTCCCGGCTGAGTGCAGAGCCTGGGGCCAGGCTTGATCTCAGATCAGAGCCGGAGATCATGACCTGAGCTGAAATCAAGAGTCAGACACTTACCTGGGCCAAAACCAAGAGTCAGACACTTAACCGACTGAGCCACCCAGGAGCACCCCCAAAGATTTTAAATGCTTACAAAGAGGAATAAAAAATAAAAGGATCAGACCGACATCATATTTCTCAAAAATAACACTAGAAGCTAGTTAATAATGGAGCAATGCCTTCAAAATTCTAACTGAAAATGATTTTCAACATAATTCCATACCCCGTTTAAGAATCCTTCAATGTTTTATAGTAAAATAAAGATATGAGATTCATCAGTCTCCAAATATTTACTATCCTATACACTTTCTCAGGAACCTTTCAGGGGATACATTCCATTCAATAGAGAGAATTATGAAAAGGGAAGACCTGGGTTCCAGGAGACAGTGGGTCTAACTTAGGAGTGAAAGGACATCCCAGGATGGCAGAGAAGGGAAGTCCAAGACAAGTGTGCCTTAGCATCAGAGTGCAAACAGTCCATATAGGAATATGTAGAAGGAAGGCTCTATGAAGGATGTTTCCAGGAAATAAAAGAAAAGCAACAGATTGTCTAATTGTACAATTTTATTAAGGAGCATTTTCCAGAGGGGTTGGGACGTAGCCTGCAAGTCAAGAAAAACTAAGTAAATGAAAAAATATGGCAGCTATTAGTTCCAGGCCAAAAAAAAAAAAAAAGTGATCACAGTACACTATTTGGTTGAATAAAATAAAAAAGGAAACACCAGAAAGGAAGTGCAAGAAAGCTATCACACACAAAAGAAAACAAGGCATAAGTAATTTTTACCCTCTACCACACGTGTCCCTATAAAATAAGGGCTGGGGCTAAGTCTTCTCCAAGTAGACAGCTGACAACCCCAGTGGATTAATTATCTAAAAGAGCTAAGTCTTGAATGTTTCTCCCTGGTGCGGAGTCTGATCCGTTCTAAAGGGTTTAAGCTCAAGAGAAACTGGCTACAGGATCAGGTTATAAATGGACAGCAAGGCAACTTACTTATCACCATCTTAAGGCATTCAGGATTGTCTTGAATAAGTGGTTCAGCTTGTACCGTTTTACTTAAGAAATTCTTTGATATAAGAGGAAACCTGACTTTAGCAAGGATATCAACCATAAATGGCTGGCGATTAGGTTCATCATATTTCAACCATCTGACAGCAGCATCATAAACCTAAGGGGGGAAAACAGCATAGTAAAGTTCTTAGAAGGCAGCAACATTTCCAATTACCTATTTACTCTCATATTGAAGGTTGGGGGAGGATCTCATGAAGACACAACCACTTATTCCCAATATTTTATTCAGCTATTTTCTTTCATTCCCAGACACTTGCCAGTACTTCACAACAGTTTACCCACTGCTCTAATGATTCTTGTAGAGAAATATTTTTAGAACTAATTACTACTATATAATGTAATCACAGGGAGGATATTGAATTTATGATTTTTTGAAACAAAATATAACTTCTTTTCAGAAGGAGCTATGATGTACATTTCTACTGAAAGAAATCTACTGGTCAATGGTAGTTTTAATACATGTTCACTCGGTACCAAGAAAACAGGCTAATTTCCTCAGGGGGCTTCCATCCCAAGAGATATGAAGGTCATCTATGATTTTATTTCAATACGATATTCCTGAATTATGAATTGATAGACTTACCTGTTTTCCAGAAACTTTACGATATAAAAATTCTATATTTAAAAAAATACATTAAAGGATATTTATGTAAGAACTGTTTTCAAAGTAGTACTGTAGCACTCATTTATCTTTACCAAACAAGTCCAAGTTTATCAACACAATTTGATTTATAAATTATTAGGGTTTTTTTTTTTTTTTTTAAAGTAGGCTGCATGCCCAGGGGCCCCTGAGTGGCACCGTCAGTTAAGCATATGACTCTTGGTTGTGAGATAAAGCCCTGAGTTGGCTCTGCGTTTCGTGCAGAGTCTGCGTGAGATTCTCTCCCTCTGCTCTTCCTGCTCGTGCTCTCTCAAATAAATAAATCTTTTTAAAAAAAATAAAGTAGGCTCCACGCCCAACGTGAAGCTTGAGCTCATAGCCCTGAGATCAAGAGTCCCATGAACCAGCCAAGTGCCCCACAAATCATGAGTTTAGACACACTGAAAACACACCTATTATTTCATAAACATACACATCTACCACATACATGTTTGAGCTACTTAAATTGGTTAATTTGGGGTTGGTGTTAATATGGCCTAAGTTCTGATCTCCATATGAATTAATTTTTTATGGGAACTGGCTTATTTTTTTTTAAATAAACTTTTAATTTTGGAAAAGTTTTAGATTTACAGAAAAGTTGCAAAGATAGTGCAGAGTCCTCATATACCCTGCACCCAGTTGTTAAAATGTTACATTAGCATGACACTCTTATCACAACTAATGAATCAATTATTAACTAAAGTCCATACTTCTTTTTTTTTTTTTGTAAAGATTTTATTTATTTATTTATTTATTTGACAGAGAGAGAGAGAGATAGTGAGAGCAGGAACACAAGCAGGGGGAGTAGGAGAGGGAGAAGCAGGCTCCCCGCTGAGCAGGGAGCCCGATGTGGGACTCGATCCCAGGACCCTGGGATCATGACCTGAGCCGAAGGCAGACGCTTAACGACTGAGCCACCCAGGTGCCCCTAAAGTCCATACTTCTAAAACTTTAGTTTTTTTGTCTAATTTTTTTCTCTGTCCCATAATCCCATAAAAGATACCACATCACATTTACCCATTATGTCACCTTAGGATCTTCTAGACTATGACAGTTTCCCAGACTTTCCTTGTTTCTGATCACTTTGACAGTTTTGAGTGCTGGTCAGGTATTCTGTAAAATGTCCTTCAATTTGGGTTTGTCTGATGTTTTTCTCATGATTAGACCAGGATTACAGTTTTTTAGGAGGAAGACCACAGAGTTGCCATGCCATTCTCCTTACATTATATTAAGGGTGCATGATATCAACATGACATCACTCAAAATATTAACCTATAAGTAGTGCTCATCAGGTTTGATGATCTGTAGGTACTGTTTGCCAGGTTTTCTTCAGACTAAAGTTACTTTTAAATTCCCTTTCCATAATGCATATAAGTCAGTTAATTTTGGTCTCAGAACTGAGGATTTTTGTTTGTTTGTTTTTTGTTTTTACCTAGTCAGGTCTTCCAGGTCCAAGTTGTCAACTTGCAGACTAATATAACTTATGACCTGGGGCCATTAAGAAGACCAGACAAAAAATGGCTCAGTGCAAATCTTTTATCTTTAGAACAAAAGTAACTCAAAGCATATGATCTTACAGTATCTCTATTAGTTTTCTATTGCTGATGTAACCAATTATCACAAATTTACTGGCTTCAAATACAGAGAAAGGTGTAGGACTGAAAAGAGGGATTAACTGAATGTCTGCATATCAAAGTGTTACTGTTAGTCCATCTAGCTCCCAAATGCCTGCACCCAGCTTACACCTCTGACAGTTTATTTGACAGTTCTGGAGGTTGAGTCCAAAATGGGTCACACTGGGTTAAAATCAATGTGTCAGCAGGGCTGCCTGAAGGCTCTAGAGGAGAAAGCATTTCCTTGCTTTTTCCAGAATCTAACAGCTGCCTGCATTCCTTGGCTTGTGGCCTCTTCCTCCATCTTCAAAGCCAGCAATCACTGGCCAAGTCTTTCTCACATTGCATCACTCTGACACTGACTCTTCTGCCTCCCTCTTCCACATTTAAGGACCCTCGTGATTACACTGGGCCCACCTGAGGTTAAAGACCTCAAAGATCTTTAATTTAACCACATCTGCAAAGTCCCACTTGCCACCATGTAAGGTAACATACTCATTGGTTCTGGGTATTAGGATGTGGACATCTTTGGAGGGGAAGCATTGTTCTTCCTACCATGGTATCCAATAGCTTTATTTCTACCAAATGGCCTCTCAAATAGAAAGCCCTTATAGGCACCCAAGATTTACTTTTCCTATGAAACAGATTTTGGAATACTCTGTTTGATGTAAAGAACAGATTCTCTCCTAATAGGATTCTTTTCCTTGTCATGTATCCAAACATGAAACATAAGAAATAAAAAAGGATAAAACGTGAGAAGACAATTTAGTCACCTGATCCTCTGCTCTCACAGTCAGTGTGTCCTGGTTGAGGAGATGTGTAACTCGCTTGACATCAAGTTGCAGAAATTCATCAGTTTTGTAAACTTCAGTAAAGTGCTGATGAATGAAGTCATCTGCAGTTGCTTTCAATTCAGGACAATCCAGACACTCTGCTAGCACACTTATACCTAAATACAGAAGAAAATAAATGAATAGAAAATAACTTCAAAAAACCCCAAACATACACTGAAGACAAGTATGACTTCAGAAATATGAGGCTGAATGAATTTCATAAATTCGGATCCTTTTCTGTTCTACTGATTTGTTTATTCTTATGCCAATTAGCATACTGACTTAAGTTTGGCCGATTTTGATACTTTGTAGGAAAAGCCCCTTCAATGCTTTTTCACATTTTTCTTGGCTAGTGTTAAACACTTTCTCTTGCAAATAAATTTTAAAATAAGTTTACAACATTCTACTGTAAAAAATCCTGATACGATTTTAAGTTCTACAGCTGTTTTAGGTTCAAAGCAAAATTTAATAGGAAGTAGAGTTCCCACATACTCTTGTTCCACACATGAACAACTTCCTCCATTACCAACACCTCACACCAGGGTGGCAAAGTATTATTATTATTATTTTTTTTTGGTAAAGCATTTTTTTTTTTTAAAGATTTTATTTATTGAGGCGTCTGGGTGGCTCAGTCGTTAGGTGTCTGCCTTCGACTCAGGTCGTGATCCCAGGGTCCTGGGATGGAGCCCTACATCGGGTTCCCTGCTTGGCGGGAAGCCTGCTTCTCCCTCTCCTGCTCCCCCTGCTTGTGTTCCCTCTCTCGCTGTGTCTCTCTCTGTCAAATAAATAAATAAAATCTTAAAAAAAAATTTTTATTTATTTATTTGAGAGAGAGAGAATGAGAGCGAGTACATGAGAGGGGGGAGGGTCAGAGGGAGAAGCAGACTCCCTGCTGAGCAGGGAGCCCGATGCGGGACTCGATCCCGGGACTCCAGGATCATGACCTGAGCTGAAGGCAGTCGCTTAACCAACTGAGCCACCCAGGAGCCCAGTAAAGCATTATTTTTAAAAATACATTCATCGATGGATTCAATTTGCCTAATGGGGGTGGGGGAGGGGGGCTTGACCCCAGGACCCTGAGACCATGACCTGAGGCGAAACCAAGAGCTGGATGCTCAACCGGAGCCACCCAGGTGCCCCTCATCTTTCCTTCTTGTTTAGACTTGTTAACTATTTTATACCATTCTTTGAAATAGCTTTTCTTTCTCTGGCCAATCTATAGTCTATTAGTGTTATTTTTCTATTTTATTAATTTTACTTTAAAAGGTATTTTCTTCTACTTTCATTAGGTGTCAAAAATTTTTTTCCCTACCTCCTTGAGTACAACACTCAGTCAAGATAAAAATAAATGCATTTATTTGGAAATATTTAAGACTACAAATTTTCTTTAAAGAAATACTTCAGTCACATTCCAAAGGTTTTGATTTATTCTGTGCTTTACTGTCATATATTTCTATACAGCCTGAGTTCATTTTTAATACCTCTTTATAAATGCCTATTTAAATAATTCTTCAGTTAAGTATCTAAGTGTTCAGAATGGAGCGGGAGAAAATAGCTCTCCTATGGAGGTTAGTTCACAGCTTTATTGCGCTGTAATCAGCAGATGTAGCCTGTGTCTCTTTTAGGTGCTCCAGATTTTGTTTTTGTAAACAGAATTTGTATTTGTAAACACTCCAAGGGTGCCCGAAAACTATTGGTGTTCTCTGATTATTGGGTAAAAGATTCTGTGATATCTAAACAACTTTGTGTTGTTCAAATCCTTACACTTTTCCTAAGCTTTATTTTTGAGATTTCTAGGCAATTCTTTGGTGTGTTTAATTTTTTATTTTAAGTAAACTCCCCGTCACATGTGGGGCTTGAATTCACAACCCTGAGATCAAGACTCACAGGCTCCCCCAACTGAGCTGGCCAGGCGCCCCTGTAGGTAGTTCTATGAGTAGCTCAAAAGCATTCAATAAATTCCTTTTCTGTTTAAGCCAGCAAGTCAGTTTATTTTGCTTGTAACAAAGGAAGTTGACCAGCACATCCCTATCTTGAGATCTTTACCTCTTACTTTGCTGTAGTACTTCCCCTAATACTTTTCTCAGAAGGCTATAGGTGGATTTTTTTTTTTTTAAAGATTTTATTTATTTATTTGACAGAGAGAGACACAGCGAGAGAGGGAACACAAGCAGGGGGAGGGGGAGAGGGAGAAGCAGGCTTCCCGTGGAGCAGGGAGCCCGATGCGGGGCTCGATCCCAGGACCCTGGGATCATGACCTGAGCCAAAGGCAGACGCTTAACGACTGAGCCACCCAGGCGCCCCTAGGTGGATTATACATTGTGTCTTTGCAATGTCTCCAGTGAATGATGTTTTAAAATGTAATTCTTTTTTTTCCCTCCCTCCACCATTTGCATATCTTATGCTACTTACTACCTTCTAACTTCCTGTTGCAGATAAATTATCACTCTGATTCTCTTTCTTTTCTAAGTAAACTTTTATAATAGTTATTTTTTTTAAGATTTTATTTATTTGAGAGAGAGAGTGAGAGCAAGAGAGATCACAGAGGGACAGAAAGAGGGAGAAGCAGACTTCCAGCTGAGCAGGGAGCCCGACGTAGGGCTTGATCCCAAGACCCTGAGATCATGACCTGAGCCGAAGGTAGATGCTTAACTGACTGAGCTACCCAGGTGCCCCAGTTATCTACTGATGCAGGATAAACAACCCCAGAACTTAGTGGCTCAACCTAACAAAAATGTATTATTTCTTGGAATTCTGTGAGTCAAGTGGGTGGTTCTTTTGAACTGGGCTGGTTTAGCTAATCTCTGTAGTTAGCTGGTTGCTCAGCTGGGGACTGGATGGTCTAGATTGGCCTCATTTACTTATCTAGTAACAAGTAAGCTGGTTGGTACAGACATCAGCTAGTACAGCTCATCTGTGCCCCAAATGGTCTCTAATCTTTTCATGATGGCAGAAGAGTCCCCAGCAGCAAAGAAGGGCAAGCCCCAATGCACAATCATTTTTTAAGCCTTTGCTCATGTCACATTTGCCAATGTCCCACGGGCTAAAGCATACTACATGGCCAAGTCTAGACTACACAGGGAAAAGACTCTCTACCTCTTGATGGAAAGCTACAAAGTCACATATATAAAGGCTTATGCATATAGGGACGGAAAGAATTTGTGGCCAATTTCTGGCTAACCTACCATACTCTTTCTCTCTAAAAGCTTATAAATTCTTTTTATATTGATTTTTTTTAAATATGGTAAAACACATGCAACATAAAACTTACCATTAGTGACATTTAGTTTATTCACCATGTTGTACCACCGTCACCACTATCTAGTGCCAGAGCATTTTTAACACCCCAAACAGAAGTTCTCTCTTGATTTTGGAGGCAAAAAATATCACTAGGATACATCGAGGAGAGGAATATCTTTTTTTTTTTTTTAAGATTTTATTTATTTATTTGAGAGAGAGAATGAGATAGAGAGAGCATGAGAGTGGGGAGGGTCAGAGGGAGAAGGAGACTCCCCGCTGAGCAGGGAGCCCGATGCGGGACTCGATCCAGGGACTCCAGGATCATGACCTGAGCCGAAGGCAGTCGCTTAACCAACTGAGCCACCCAGGCGCCCATATCTTTCTTTTTTTTAAAGATTTTATTTATTTATTTGACAGAGAGAGACACACAGCGAAATAGGGAACACAAGCAGGGGGAGTGGGAGAAGCAGGCCTCTCACGGAGCAGGGAGCCTGATGCGGGGCTCTATCCCAGAACCCTGGGATCATGACCTGAGCCAAAGGCAGATGCTTAACGACTGAGCCACCTGGGTGCCCCTAGGAGAGGAATATCTTACTTCATCAGGTCTGGTACTTAGTTTAGTGTGAAAGGTAAAGTCTTTTTAAGCTCAAATAAGTTTTTCTTTTATTACTTCTTTGATACTGCTTTTCCTCTATTTGTTCCTTCTGGACTTCCTACCTCATATCAGTGTCCCTTTATCTTCCTTCCATGTCTTTTATGTTTTCACTAATGATTTCCATTTCTTTGCATTTCTGTTTTGTTATCATAAGACAGTTTTCTCTGATCTTCTTTAGTTTGATTTTTAGGAATATCCATTCTATTTTTCAATTCAATTGCATTTCATGGAAAATCACAGCTTCCCGCCACCCCTTCATATGCATCCTTTCTATTTTAAGTTCTCCACTTCTTACATTAAATTTGTCTACAGGAAACATTCATTTTGGCTGTTTAGCTTGATATTCTGTCCTCCAAACTACTGGGGGGACTACTTTAATCTAGTACAATCTTTGCCCAATTCCATTAGGTGCCATGAGTTCCTTTAGTATTCATGGAAATCAGCTTGTTGGGGTCTTCTGGGCAGCAGAGAATTGACAAGTGGTAAAAACAAAGACAGAGTTCTCTGATCAGCTCACAGGGAGAGCCATACTCAGGGCTAAATAGAAACAGGCTGAAGGAGTTCCTTTGGATACTGACAGTATACTGGCTCAACTGGGTGGGCCACTATATTTGCCCCAGGATTAGCCAGAGAATCAGGCTCCCTTCTAGGCTGCTATGCTGTCCTTCCTCTCAGCTTTGAAAACAATGATGACAGAAGGCATCCAGAAGTAAAACTCCTAAATGGTCTCCTCAGAAGCCCAAAGCCTAAGATGTGGTTAGCACAAACTTGCTCCAGGTTCCACAGTATGCTTTGTACCACCATATCCACTCCCTACTCTGGCTGGTTTTTAGTTGAATCACCTGGTTGGAAATTTAGAGCAGTAGGGAGTTAGGGAAAAATACTTAAGTCATCATCTTCCAAAAACTTCTCTGAATTCCCTTTTTACAATAAATTTTGTGAGAATATTTATGTAAGGAGAAATAAGTAAAATCTCAGGAACATTAATCTTATTGATGAATGGAGCCCCAAACTATGGCTCAGAGAAACAGACTCATTCCAGAATGTCTCTGTTGCACAGGTGAGATTAAAATCTTTTTATGTATATGGTCTGGTCTTTTTAAAGAATGTATTTATTTATTTACTTGAGAGAAAGAATTGCACGAGTGGGGAGAGGAACAGAGGGAGAGGGACAAGCAGACTCTGTGCTGAGTGTGGAGCCCAACATGGGGCTCGATCTCAAGACCCCGAGATCATGACCTGAGCTGAAATGAAGTTGGATGCTTAACTGACTGAGCCACCCAGGTGCCCCTTCAGCAGTCCCTTAATTAGTATCTTAATTTATAGTCTAGGATTTTTAAGTCTTCTAGTATACAATAGCTAGCATATCTGACAATGTGGAGAGGCAACAGGGTGTAGTAGTTAAGAACAAGATTATTTTAATTCCAACCTCAGCACCTCCATATACTAACTATAAGACCTCAGGCAATATATACAACCTGTTTTCTCATTCAAGACAGACTTCAGCAATCTTAAGTGCTTCAATGGTGAACATTCATACTTATGATATCATATATCACACCACCACCAGATGCAATCCTTACTCTCCATTCCAGATTCATTAAAACTCATTATTAAAGTTATTTTATATTTTATAAAATGTTAATACAGTATTTAATGGGCTTCTTGCTGCGCAGGTTAATAGGCACCTCCCTAAGTGTCTCTTAAAATGCATTTTAAGTGTATTTTCTAGTGGACAATGTCTTTAAAATTAAATGAGGATACTTATAACCATACTTTTTAAAATTAAAATACACATTAAAGTTTGTTTTTGTTTTTATTTTAAGTTACGAATCTGATTTCTTACCAAGACAATTTGAAGCATCAACTTGTTCTTTCAAAAAATCAACACACATTTTCTTCACAGGTTCAATCTGGTACTGGTTTGCTGCATCTAACAAAGACTGAACGTTGTTGCTATTCACAGAAATTCTGCAAAGAAGTTAAAGTGAATATTAATTTCCTACAATGTTTTATTATTTCAATAATGCTATTGTAAAATGTATCCTACTAGCCCCTGAAATTAGACAGAAAATTAAAACTTTTCAGTCCTTGCATCAGTATGGTGTAGGTTCCTCAAACTTCCCCATCCTTGTAGTTTTTCATGTTGAAGAATTCGGAGGACATCAATTTGTCACCACAATATTCTGCCATGGTAGATCCCAACCTTTCTTCTCTACAACAGAAATGATCCTCCTTAACTTACCTAGCAGTATAAGCAAATTCCACAAGTTGTTCGATAATGTCAGGTTCAGCATCTTTGAGTTCAACTTCAAAGGACTTTGATTCGAGCATGTTAGCTAAAATGAAGAGCAGAAATATAAATGGCATGAGTACTATTACCAGTTTAACTGAGGACCAGATCATTCCAGGCCATGTTAAATATGGAAAAGAATAATAGGACAGAGATCTCTCTGGAAAAAAATACCCAGAAAGCCCAATATTCCTATAATAAATGCAAAGTAATTCTCCATACTTGAGATGTGTCTTAAATTAAAATAAGCTAAGAAATTAGTTAATTAGTATATTTCTTTAAAAAAAAAAAAGGCCAAGTAAACATATACATAAAAATAGATTCAGTATTTCCCCAAGTCCTAAAATAATTTGGTAGCACTCTTCTAAATTGCTATGAGCAAAACTACATCTGATGTAGCTGGCAAACATCTACAAGAATAATGACAATTATATATACAGTAAGTTATAGCTAGCAAAGCTCATTCTTTACCAAAAACCTCATAGGTAGCCAGAGCACCAAAGAGAAAGCTTGAGGCAGATGTATTACATAACCTGATCAAGCTCATAAAACAGTACTAAGCAAAGGAACCAGGACTTGGACGCAGTTCTCAACTCTAAATCTGAGTTTTTTCTAGTATGATATGCTATATTTCATATTTCACTTTTATTTAGTTTAACTTGCTAGATAAATTATCCTAACATTTATTTTCTTCTTTGCCTTTCCATCTAAGGTTAAGAAGAAAACTGGGCATTCAAGTAGAAACTGTATCTTCATCCATAAAAGTCTTGGGCCTGTACGGCTAATGAAAGGACATTTTTCTTTTGCTCAATCCTCATCATAACCACTTTTCAATCTCTTCATTGTTTTATGGCCTTAATTTCTTAAGTGCTTTAAAAACTAGGAAGATATTTTCATTTAGACTCTACCTCATTCTCACGGAAAAAATATTATGTTTTACTTTAAGATACTTACTTGTGAACATTAAGTTAAAAAAATGACTGGCTGCTGCAAGGACAACTCGATGAGCAGGTATCTTTCTTTCCTGGACCATAAGGATCACATCACACAATGTTTTCTAGTCAAGAGAGAAATAAATGAAATTAAAAGGGGCTCACTGGTCCGGCTCAGCAAACATACAAAACCGGTCCTTGACAAATGCTTTATCTCTATTTTCTATTCAAATCCAGTCTTTGTCCAGCACAGAATCTGTTCATCAGACACATTTAGAAAGGACTTACAGAGTTGCTATCATGATTTGCTGTATCAAAATGTGGTACTGAGCTTCCCAGCAGTAAAAACAGGGGGAAAAAAGAAAAGATCTTTATAATCAGAAGTCTACTTATCCTTTAGGGAAACCAATTTTTTTTCTGACACAAATTCAAGGTATTTCTCATGGTGAGATTTTATGGGAACATTAAATGAAATAAGAGCAATGTCCTTGATGGTTTTTCAAACATAGCAATCTGGGTTTTTAAAAAATTATCTATTCTTAATAAGTTCCAAAGTACACACTGTATTTCCCAAGAAAGTAGCTTACACAGATCTAACTTGAAACAAAAACAATTCAGAATAGAGTGGACAAACCAAATGACTATTCAGCACTCTTTCCTTATAACACTTCTCTCAAATGTATGTCTGATAGGAGCTGGATAGCAACCACTTTTAAATTGTGATTTCTGACCAAGGCCAAAGTGGTGTCACCCTAGGTTCCTAAAAGAAGGCAGAGTTAAATACTTACAATGCTGACGAAATGAAATATTAATGAAAAAATTTAAGGTTTACTGGAACGCTTAAAGATGAATTTCAAGAAGAAAGAATACCTTTTTTGTCAAACAAAATTTCAATTTCTTAATGAAGTTAAAGATATAATGTACAGGTTAGTCTCAGAAAATCTGCAGCTTGTGGTATGTTAGGCACTCTTTTAGCACTGGGAATATGAGGCAAATAATACTTTCAGAGTAAAAAAAATCTATCACAAATCTAAATATTGGCTTAGTAGCTCAGACGATATGGCATTTTGTAAATTTTAAGTATTTACTAAAACTATTAATACAGGGCACCTGGGTGTCTCAGTCAGTTAAGCATCTGCCTTTGGCTCAGGTCATGATCTCAGGGTCCTGGGATTGAGTCCCCTGTTGGGCTCTCTGCTCAGCAGGGAGTCTGCTTCTCCCTCTCCGCCTCCCTCCTGCTTGTGCTCTCACTCCCTCTCTCAAATAAATAAATAAAATCCTTAAAAAAATAAAACTACTAATACAATTTTGGATAGGTAAGTCACTATATTCTACTTTATTACTCCACAAATAAAAATCCAAGTGAGATGGTACTGCTCAGTACAAGAAAGGAAATGGGCTTTATTTTTATTTTATAGTGGGCTAAAAGATGAACAAAATTTCATTTTAACAGCCATGTGAAGATTTTTTTGGTAAGGCCTATGGACTACTGCTTAGAATTACATGCAGATTACTTATAGTTAAAGCCATTGTTATCCCAATAGTGTCTTGAATTTTTAAATTTTTATTTCCTTTAATTTGGTGGGGGAGGTACAGAGTAGGCATAGTTCTTATGGATTTTGCCACATACCATACCAAAAATACCAGGTAGCAAAACCAGGTCAACTATTTGGTTACCACCAAAACAAGCTGATCTAGTTGCTCCAGAGAAAGAAAGAAAAAGGCGGAAAGAAGGAAGGAAGAAAAAGAATTCGGACAGAAGAACAAGCAAGTCAGATAAGGGAGGGGTTCTATGGCTGCTGACAGAAAGTTCCAGAAGATGTACAACTACACTGAAATGCAGCGAAAAACCTTTCCAAAATATACACTCAGCAATAGGGATTTTTAATGCCATGAATTTATAGGCACTTTAGGAAGTTAAAGAAATCAGACAGATCTCTGCACAGCAATTTAGTCTTCTCTAAGAATAATCTCCAGCTGGATATTAATGTTATGGACGGAATGGGAGGAACCTTTTGTATCCAAATGGTACATGTGACTGTACTACACTAACTTAACAGGTTTCAACAGGAGATGGGACTGACTTAAAGAGAGAGGCTCTGCTCAGGAAGAGTGTATCTGCAGATAGAAAATGGGAAGAGACAGAGATCTGGGTTACACTGGAGAATATGAAAGGTAACAAGTCCTATGTGAATTGAAGAGAAACTTAAACAAAACTACCTTCTGAACAATACAGGTTTACTGGATAAAACAAGAAAAAAAAAACCCTGGCAACTTCTGTTTATATCCCCCCATATTTGTTATATCTTTATATTATTTTCAGTTTTTGAATTTTTAGTCTCTTAGATATTGCATAGATTTGTGTGACTTAATCTGAAAATCTCACCATCTAAAATTACTTTTAGTAGGATTTAGATCCTTCATATTTATTACTGATAACTTATGTTTCCTCCTCCATAGGCCATCTTCTTTTACACAATTTATTATGCTTCCTTGCTGTCTTCTTTTTTAACTACCAGGTGGTATTTTAGTCACATTTTCTTTGCACTTTTGCACTTTTTTCTTCTTTTAGGGACTTACTTACAGATCTGTCAAATATTTGCAAAGTGAATTCAGCAGGGTTATTACTCAAATATTGTTCTAGGAATGCAAGGAGGCTTCCAGAACAATAATTCTTTAATATAATCAGCATATTCACAGGTTAAAAGAGAAAAACTTCAATAGATGGCAAAATTAAAAATTCATTTCCTTTTATACTCTTTCATAAAGAAAATGATGTATCTGTATGCTGAAGGTGTTTTGACTCAAAAGCAAACATCACATTTAATAGTGACACAAAAGAAGCATTCTCATTTAAGTTTGAGAAGAGACACATAACGCTGTCACTACTATTATTCAATTATTGAATAATCTGAAATCTGAAAATTTTAGCCAAATTGAAAATTGCCTCTGCCTCGGCCCCTTTGGCCAACTTACCAGTCTCTAAGTTTAGCAAGCATCTTTAGCCCTCCTGATTAACTAAACCTTTCTTTGTATAGGAACCAAACTCTCTCGCACAACCTCCCCCCCCAGCCCGGGGCACCAATACACAACTTTCAAGCACAGCTATAATGTCTGTAGCTGGTACCATTGAGTCTGCATGCAATCAAGAAGTGTTATAGACCACTGTGCTCCCCTTCACTGATTAACTGCCCTAAAGTTCCTTTAAAAATCTTTGGGCCAGGCAAAAACCTTAGAGTTGGTTTTTAAACAAAAGTCTGCCTTCTTCCCAGGTGGCCCGCCTCCTGAATAAAGCTCATATTCCTTTCCAATCAAAATTCGTCTCTTAAGTACTGGCTTTTTGAGCAATGAGCAGCTGACTTGGGTTTTTAGGTAACAAAATCAGTAAGAAAATAAATAAACTTAATACTTACAGAACTAAATAAAAAGTAAGATGAATATGAAAAAGCAATTAGCTAACCTATATGTGAGCAGTAAGCCACAAAGAAACACAAATGAGGAAAAAATAAAAATCCAACAACCTCGCATAGCAGCAACAAAATAATTAAATGTTGAGAAATAAACTTAAGAAATGTGAGGGATCTACATTAAATAGCAATTTAATATAGATAAAGATACTATTTCAAAAATGTGGTAAGAAGCTGGAGTACCCGCAATGTTTAGGGCAGTGAAACTATTTCCTATGATACTGTAACAGGATACATGTATAGTATACATCTGTCAACATCCACAGAATGTACAACACAGAGAATAAACCCTAATGTAAACTATGGTTAATAACAATGTAACAATATTGGCTCATCAATTTTAACAAATGTATCATACTTGTGTTAGCAAGATGTTAATAGTAGGGGAAACTGGGAGGGGGAGAGGGAAAATGGAAACTCTGTACTTTCTGTTCAATTTTTTGGTAAACCTAAAACTACTCTAAAAAGCAAAGTCTATTAATTTTAAAAATGTGATGAGAGAATGGATAACTGAAAAAATAGTATTAGTATAACTGTTACCCACTGAGGGGAAACATTAGATTTCTCTCTCATACCATAGTGTTTCTTCTCTGGGGCAAGTTAAGTACTGGGAAGGAAGGTTCAGTCCTTTTCTCCCCTGTCACTTGTGGAAGAGGTTCTATAGGATGAGCACGAATAAAGTAGAGGTCACGGACCACACATTGCCAGGCCTTCTGGTTCACTTTCTTCTATAAGTCTGTCCCAAAATGGAACATAACTCATTTCAAATGTTGGGAACCAAGAGTGGAAGAGAGCTGCTGAAATCCGTATGCAGAGACATTCAATGCACTGCAGACAGAAACTTAGGCGATGCTTTAGTGCCTATAATTATTAGGGACTTCTGCAGGAACAGTCCTTTGGTTAGGAAAGATTTCACTTCAAAACAGGCAAGAATTTCAGGCAAGTGTTGGTAGAATGACCTTCTGCTCTCTTTACGTGTTTGCCAGGTAGGACTGCAAAAGGCAGTAGGCTCCACGTAAGCTCCACAGCACTGTGCGAGGCTCTAACTTTTAACAATATGTGCTGGCATTACTAAGGCATGCAATCAGCTAATTCTATTCCCAAATTCTATCCTTCATCGTATCCCAAGAAGAGGACTGAGGAATGACTAACCTTCGGATTTATGTAGCTTGTCAACAAGGTTCTGCAATCAGTCCCGCCCAGCGTGATTTCAAGTTGGCCCTGGGTATAAATCCCTGAGTAGACTGTAGATTCAACTATAGTTGGGTGGTGGATTTAAATCACTGAAAAGATAAAGGGAAATGAAGCCCTTATTATATGGGGGTAAATCATCTTCTTGGATTGAGATACTAGAAAAGCCTCAACAAAGCCATAATAAACTCAAAAGCTAAGAGAAAAATTAAGAAGGCCTTAGGAATCTTATTTGCTCAGAAAAGCAAGAAAAATAGCACTGGATTTAAAGACACATAATCACAATAAGGCAAGTGGGAAAGTAAAAGAAAAACAAAGTTAGACACCCAGATTAATAGAGGAAAAGCAGATTTCTTCCTTAAGGGAAACATGACAAGTTAGGTCAAACAGCTTTAAAAGGCAGAGGAAATACAGTTTGATATAACTGCTCTTTAAAAGATGAGGCTAGGGGGAAAAAAAAGTTATTTTTGCTGTTATTTATTCAAGTAAGGTGATATAAGCCAAAGAGATATACGGAAGAAGAAAAGTAAAATTCAGCAGTAGTCTAAAACAGTTCTCAGAAAAAGCCTGGATCGAAGAAATTTTTGTTAAGAGCTCTCTTAAAGCTAAAGAAATCAAACACGTAATTAGAGGACTATACTTAAAGACTGAGACAGTTGTAACAGGTGATTACATTAAATTCAGATTTGTAAAGTTTTGGAAAAGGAAGATCAGCAATAAAATAGTTCATCCATTATGTAATTTGCAATGTGATATGGGTGGAAAGACAGGAATGCTACATACTATAGTAGAACATATCTGGGAAGTCTGTGGAAAAAAGACTCTAAGGGAGAGTACTAGGTCACATTAAAGGGAAGCCAAATAACCCAGACATAATCCAAGCCTAAGTTAGATGCTGAACCTGTCCATAGCTGTAATTACTTTACTGAGGGTGGTGAAGATTGGCAGCAGCTGAACCAATCCTGAACACATGGACCTCTTCATTTCCACTGTGATGGTGTCTATAAGAAAGGCACTAACGGAAGAAGCAGCAAAACAAACATTTGGGCCCAAAATCAAAAGGAAAGGAAAAGGAAGGAAGGTATTCTTATCTAAACAGTGTTAGCTCTATACTATGTAGGAAGAAAAGGATTCAACTTGACAGGTTAACAACTCCGCTGGGGATGCCTGAAAGGAACAAACAGACAACAGAGTCATAGCCTATTTTGACACATACAGGTAACAAAAAGGAGTATGTCTGCTACCACTGAGTTTCCAAAGCCTGGAAGACTCAAATAATGAGGAATGGCAAGGTTTTGAGGAGCACACTGTCAAGGCCATGTTGGTCCCTATGCGACCAACAGGCTTTAGAGGAATCAAAGGTCATTCTCCAGCTGAGATAAATGGAAAGGAAAAAAGACCCCTCCAAGAGATAGGATTAGTAGTAGAAACAAGGAATTTCACAGCAGGATAGGATCATAATGGGGACATGGGGTACAGAACAACTAGTTGGATCAGAACTGTAGAGAACGCAAGGCCACAAACTGCTCTGCACGACTGCCTGCTACAAATGTGGATCATTCTTCTCTCAAAATACTTCGTCACTACACAGAACTCAACTGCCAACAACATAAGGTTCAAAAGAGAAATAAAAATTAAGATTTAAATGTGCAGGACAGACAACAGGGAAAAAAGGGAGACTCTAGAAGACCTGGCAGCTGGGTAAATCCCCCTGGCAAATTTTTCCAAGAGCAAGGTATCCGGTCAGTGAAGCATTATTACACATAGATGAAATTCCTTCCCTATTCGGTAAAGTGTCCTATTAGCCTCTTGATAAGTGATTCCTCTCACCTGAGTTTAGAGTCTGCAAATTACAGACAGCCAACACAGACTGGCAACCTGTGCAAGCAAAAAGCCCAGACATCCTTATGTTTTCTTTTATTTTTATTTATTTATTTGAGACAGAGAGAATGAGAGAGAGAGCACATGAGAGGGGGGAGGGTCAGAGGGAGAAGCAGACTCCCCGCCAAGCAGGGAGCCCGATGCGGGACTCGATCCCGGGACTCCAGGATCATGACCTGAGCCGAAGGCAGTCGCTTAACCAACTGAGCCACCCAGGCGCCCCAACATCCTTATGTTTTCTTTGAAGATTCTCTGTTCCCTAGAAACTGAAGTTTCTGTGTTTTAGTCTGGGAACAATACAGTGGGTTAGGACTTTATCGTGAGGTGTCAACATCTGCACTATTTATTGTAGAGATGGGAGATTTGCTTGTATCTTTCCAGGTTTCTGGGGGCGGAGATGATGCTGTGCTAAGGTGCTAGGGCCCTTCAACACTCTGAAAACACGTGGCACCAACTACCTTGAAATTGGAGAAATTCACCTTTGGAGTTGCTAAACTAACTAAATATATTCCAATGGAAGATAGCCCAGGCTGCAGCTGCTGAAGAAAGCTTCCCAGAATCTACCCAAACACTTAAGCAAATGCTTTCTGGCTGAGACTGAGCAGTGTAAGAAACCAGGGAGAGCACATATTTGGAACGGCCTTTAATTTTAACTCACAGGAAGATCACAGATGTGGGAATTTAACAATGAAGGGGTTCATAAGAGTCAAATTTAGCAGATTTTACATTGCTAGTACGGAATTAGATGGAGTGTTTTAAGCTGTCATTTGGTTGTTCACTGCAGATAATCTGGAGAGCTAAGAATGAAATTTTGGTCGAGAAAAATTTGAGATGGGAAATAGAAGTGAATTTCCAGTATGGAGTTAATAGATTACCCATTTAAAAGCTTTCTGGAGTAAAAAAATTAAATAACCTTTCTAAGTGGGTCTACAGAGGATACACAGAACAGTTATTGTAGAGGATGCCTTTAAGATAGAACAAAATGCTCCCTGTGCAGGTAAAACACCACCAACAAAAACCAAACAGAAAACCTTAAAAAAAACAAACAAACTTGGAAATAAATTCTTACTTACTCGGTCCAGTTAGTGTCTGTTGGGAGTTGGGATAGGGCTTTGGTTCCTGGTCTACTATTCAGCCCTCTGAGATTCTCATCAGGGAGTTTACATAAAGATTAATAGCCAAGCGAGACATAATAAAACACACTACTGGGGCGCCTGAGTGGCTCCGTTGGTTAAGCATCTGCCTTCAGCTCAGGTCATGATCCCTGGGGCTCAGCACTGGGCTCCCTGCTCAGCAGGGAGCCTGCTTCTCCCTCAGCCCCTTCCCTGGACTCATGTGTATGTACTCTCTCTCTCAAATAAAGAAAATCTTTTAAAAATTATATATATTAAAAAAACACACTATTGATAAATGTGTGAGTACCTGGTAATCCCCATCTACTCACACCCATATACCCCAATAATCTAAATTTTGGAATTTGCATATTCATATGTCCTGTAGTGGGGAATAAGAGACGGCGGGGCCCAAATCCAGCTTATAGAGTCCACCATAAGACATACCTTACCTATTCTCCTTAGCTGATGGAGATCTTAAGTAGATGTGAATCTCAAAAGAATAATCACACCATTAATAAAACAGCAGAGTCTTAACTTCTAGCTTCATTAGATTACAACCTCTCTCTCATTGGGCAAAACTTGTAGGAGAGAGAGATGAGCTCAATATACGTCATTTCCTTTCCTTTGGGTGAGGTGAAGGTCAGACATATTTTCCCAGCCCCAGCACCCTCTGTTCCCCACACCACATACAGAGACAAACTCACACACATATATAAATGTGTGTGTGTGTGTGTGTGTACTCATTCTCCTCCTTTCAGGGAAAAGCCTTATAACAGGGGTTTTCAAACTTTTTAAGCAGCAGAATCCATTTTTTTTTTTTTTAAAGATTTTGTTTACTTATTTGACAGAGACACAGCGAGAGAGGGAACACAAGCAGGGGAAGTGGGAGAGGGAGAAGCAGGCTTCCTGCGGAGCAGGGAGCCCGATGCAGGGCTCGATCCCACGACCCTGGGATCATGACCTGAGCCGAAGGCAGACACTTAACGATTGAGCCACCCAGGCGCCACCAGCAGAATCCATTTTCAAATGATGTGATTTCACATAATATACAGAGACAAGGGGCAGATGGTTTGGCTCAGGTCATGACCTCCAGGTCCTGGGATAGTGTTCCACATCGGGCTCCTTGCTCAGTGGGGAGCCTGCTTCTCCCTCTCCCTCTGCCTCTCCCGGTTTGTGCTCTCTTTCTCTCTGTCAAATCAATAAATAGAATCTTTAAAAAAATAAAAAAATAAACATTTAAAAAAATTTACAGAGACAAAATGGTTTCTATATAGTCAGACTTAGCCTGGCAACCAAGGGATGGAAGAAGCTCCCCTCACTGTTAAGCTTAATGATTCACTCACAAATATTTTGCTTCTGATCTCAGCAATTAGTCTTTCTGGAGGTGGATTCTGCCAGTTTAAAGATATGAGGACCCAAAAGAAGAATGCTTCAACCAAGTGACAGAGAAATGTTTTTACAGAATTATCAGTTAAGACTACAACCTGGGAATTTTGGCATCCTCCTGGCACTGGGTAAAAAGAACAAAAGTTATTACATTTGGTTAGGTGCCTGAACCTGGCCATGAAGGAAAAAAAAAAAAAGATTTCTGTTCTCTATGGGACAGAAGACAGCTGGAGCTCAGGGGATCCCCTTGGGTACCTTCTTGTCGTTGGGAAAGAGGAGTCCTCTATGGTTCTCTTAAATTCCTACATATCTTCCTGGACATGCCAAGAAGGCAAGGCCCTGACACTTTTTACCTGGGGCACCATTTCTCAGGGTTATGTTGGCAGCAAGGAATCATAAGGGATGTGATAGTCTTCCCCATAAGAATAGGGAATAGGCTTGCTTACTGTTTGCTATAATATGGCAGATTCCTTAAGCTCAGTGTTCATTCTGTAGCTACAACACAAACCCACTGTGTGTATAACACCCATCTGGGCCCCAATGGGTCACCCTCAGTACTTGTGGGGCGAGGGGAACTGACACATACATGTGGATGCCCATGATGCTGTGCTGTGAGTAATCAAGTCTGTTGTCTCTAACCTAGGAGTCTCATGTCTTCTGCCAGCATCCATTAAACAGCAATAGGCTAACTAATCAGCTTATAAATACCA